TCCCGAAACATCAGAAATGAAAATCAGACCGGTGGCATTTTCGCTTTCAAAATGAACATTCCGGCTCAGACTTGGCTTAGACACCTGATCGACCAGAAAGGCAAACGGCATCGGTGAAGAAAGAGGCGGTCTATGTGAGGACCAAAGATGGGAACTTCATAAAAGAGTCGCCTTAAACACTCGATTGTGGCGTAAATGAATGGCACGCCATTTATACGAGGGAAGAAAAAGGTGATTCGGAGCAAGGGTGGGGTGGGGGAGGCACTGTAAACAAGAGCAATGAGTGTCATCTGGTAGGTTTAACTACTACACCTTAGAATGCGTAGTTTTAGACAACGCACACTAACGCATGACCAATGTTTAGTTTCTTTCTCGAATTTTGTCACTGTTTTGATTAAATGGTAATAAGGCCTTGTGTCGTCCAATTCTCTCTATAATCTATAAATTAGATGAATTTATAGATGAATTGTAATAAAAAGCATGTCATATTTCAGGCTGTTTTCTTTGTGTGTTGAATGGGATGAACAAACCAGGTCCATCACTGAAGTAGTTTCATGTCACATTCCTGATTGGAAAATAATTGTTTCACGGACAAATTTACGTGGTTTTCTGATTAATATTGAGCAAGGAGGATACTTAAAAAAAAAAACACGGCCAACTTGTTTTCTTCTTGGGTTACAGCTCATCCCTCTTGTTTCTTAAGGAGGCTGGATATAGTTTTTCACTTTTCTGATGCAAGATATTTAAACTAAAATTACGAAGCTTAGCTTTAACGAATCGCGATCACATTTTCCCCTGAAAAAAAGATATTATTGAAGAATCAGTTTGTTATAAATATATTGAAAAATTCGTTGCCATGGCAACGTTGCTGGGTCGCAATGCTGGGTCCAAAATAAGACTTGACTTGAATTTTCTTAAAAACTGGACGGTGAATTTATTTTAGATTTTGCATGCGTCCTTTGACTGTCGTGGTCTACTTGACTGTTAAGTTTAAAAAAATTCTGTCAGAAAATTTAAGGAAAAGAGGCCTTTTTTAGAATTCATCCTTAACTTTTTTTCCCTCGGAAAGAATTTTTTTGAATTTTTGTAAAACACGCACAGAGCCGTTCAAAGTTAACGTGCAAATATGAAAAAAATTCACCGAGCGGAAACGGAAATACGTCAGTCTAAAGTTTCAAATTTCCGAAAATTTCGACTCGACAAGATGGGAAATTGCGCATCCGCAACAGTTGTGTCACGCAAGGACACTTGCCACGGACGCCACAAGGTTTTAGACGTCTTATTTCGCCGAACGTCGTTTGCGCTCTTCTAAAGAGCTTTATTTTGCCAAGAGAGGTTTACCTTCTGGGTGGATTGCGCCTGGAAATGGCTGCTGCTCTATTTGCCTTCAAAGTGCTGGATTATTTTGTGCAAAGTGTCAGGATGTTTTGTTCCTCGTGGAGCTGATCGACGCGATTGGCGATTTGCTACC